GAAACAATTCGCTGTCGTAAATGGTTGTACCTCACAGACAAGGCCATTTGTGGTCCACTTAAACCTGCAATGCTAGGAAATAAGGTTCTGCTTCTTGTAACAGAATTTAGGTGCTTAGGTGTCATAATACAATTAGTTATCCTGGCATAGTCATGTTGAATCAATCTGCAAATCGTATTGTCGGAAAGTAAATCAGTTAAAAAGGCTTAAGTATTTACAGTGTGACTACTCCAACCAAAGCCACCTCGATAAATTTTCTACAAATTATCCAATAGTGTTTGAGTATTTAGAAAATATATTACCGGCAAATTTTGAATTTAGATATTCTTCCGTTGTTCCGTTTGGTAAACTAAATGATGAGGAAGAGCTTGTAATATATTTTCTTCGCAAATTAGTGATTTGTGTCAACAAAGATATAGAAAAATGGTAATGTACGACTTCAAATACGACAGGAAAGCAAATTAGAAACCGTGTAAAACACAGTCTTTATGATAACAGTTTGTTTCTTCCAGACAAAGATATAATCAGGCTGACACTGTTAGATCTTATCACCATGTTGCTATGCGACAGCACGTTTATATTTGACAACAAAGGTGCCGGCAGTCTTCTCAGCCGTGTAAATCCATGGATATTTGTCCGATTTGTAGCAATTCTATTGTTCAGATTCCTACTTTTCATTGGCTAATTTGTAGAAAATTTGTCGAGGTGTCTTTGGTTGGAGTAGTCGCACTGTATCTAAGGATACCTAACAAACAAATTACTTTACAAGTATTTCATGTTAGAGCAGCCAATATTATTCATAGGTTACCTGATGTCACTCATCAAGAAGCTTTGGCCGTAACTAGATGGAAGCTATTGACGCTTATGTACCAACATCTAAGTTGAAGCGTGGTAGAACATCCTTAAGATATAGGGGACCACTGGCTTGGAACTTTATTCCCGATACTTACATAAAGATTCTGAAATCTTTATAACGGACCAAAAAGAGTATAAAAGCATGTCACGAATAAGGACCCTAAATGCTTATTAATTATTCATGAATTTTGGAAGTCGTTCAATAAACTTGCAGATCGTGTTTATTAGGTATAAAACCACTCAGCTACGCCTCGTGGTTTTAAATCTGATAAAACACTCCTACTCATTTACTGCGCTTTTCAGTTGAGCTTGGAACGGCTATAGTTTTCTCGATTAGTTACAAAAAAGAAGCCAAAAAAGCATGAGAAAACTTGAAGGGGATTTTGTAGGAGCAAAACAGTTTTTTCCACTTAATTTTACAATGAAATTTTAAAAATAGTATGATTGTATGACATTTGAAGATTTGTAAATGTTAATTTAATTTACTGTCATGCAATTTTGGTCTGAATACAAACTTGTGAGTAACAAATTGCATTCCCGCTACATGGTCGTGCAATTTGGTAATCACTCCTTCGATTTGTATAGGAAATCGAATGGTTTCGAGTGAAATTTGAAAAAAATGAGCACGAGTGGAGCTTAAGAATTAAGATGTTAAATTGCACGAGCCTTTTGAGGCGATGGTCATGTCATTACACAACAATTCAAAATGCACTCCACTCAGTTCAATTACCACTATTTATGAAATACAGGGCAAAATTACTTGATTGATTAGCTAATAAAGGGCAGCTTTTTTTTTCTTTTTTTAATTCGGGGCCGAATTACTAGAAGATGAAACCTTGAAGTATTATTGTACAAAGTTTGATAGAAGAGAGTGATAAGTGGTTGATGAATATGAATGTTGCTAAATGTGAATCTATTACTTTTTCTGTCAAACATACCAAAACAGTGCATCCTACTCTTTACTTAAATGGTACTCCTCTTCGCGAAGTCGATTCTCATACACATCTTGGATTAATTTTGTCTAATAATTTTACTTAGAGGAATCATATTTTCAAAATTCATGAGAAGCCAAGTAAAGCCATGAACCTGTTAAAAGGAGTCAAATATAAGTTGCATCGTTCTACTTTGATAATTCTGTATAAAAGTCTTATTAGAACCCTAATGGTGCTGATGTAGTATGGGATGGATGTAGTGAGGAGGAAAACGAACTTTTGGAAGGAATTCAATACGAATCAGCACGTATTGTAACTGGTTCTATTAAAGGAACCAGCAAAACCAAACTTCTGGACGAACTTTGTTGGGAAGATCTTAAAACTAGAAGGCACATGCATAAATTAACGTTTTCTACAAAATGGTCAATAATAACCCCTCCTTATCTTAATAATCTTTTACCTTTAAAAGTAGGTCAGAGATCTAGATATAGTCTTCGATCTAATGATAATTTCTCATTACTCCCAACTCCTACTAATAGGTTTAAAAGATCGTTCTTACCTTCAGTTCTACCTTGCTGGAATGATTTAAATATAGAAGTGCGTAATGCTCGTTCTTACATGTATTCAAAAAATACTTCGTAGCACTCTTTGTGCCAAGTACAACAATCTTTGCGATACTTCAATCAATCGGCAAGCATCCATACTACATACAAGTTAAAGGTTTAAAGGTGAGTAATCGCTAACGAAGCGGCGCCGGCGCTGCTTGGCACGGATAGTGCAGCGGTAAATACTCAGAGCGTACAGCCGATTCAAACCAGAAAGACCGTTGGTGGACGTGGTAAATATAGTCATATCGTACAGCTGATTCAAACCAGAAAGACCGTTGGCTGGAAAGGACGTTTATTTTTAAAGAGAAGTGAACACTATTTAGTATCCATTTAGAAACAAACACATATCAATTCAATTAGAAATCTACGAATAACTGAAACAATCACACATATTAAAAACCCAATCCGTCTGTCCTGGCGCCCTTCATGGTATAGTAATGAAAAAGAATTGTTTTTTTTTTCGGTTCGCCAAAACTAAATAGAGAAGAAAATCAGTCTTTATTCAGGCTGGTTCAAAGCTATATAAGAAATACAAAGAGGTTCTGAATGTATGTGTGTGTGTGTGTGTGTGTGTGTGTGTGTGTGTGTGTGTGTGTGTCCGTGTGTGTGCGTTAGTGTGTTCAGTAATTGATATTGTGTACTCGTTATCATAAAGTAAATTGCAATTTAATATATTTAATATTCTTCTGATTTGGTATTGTAAATATCTATATTCGTACTATTATCTTACTTTTTGTTTTCTTTCTATTTGTACTCCGTAAATCAATATAAGTTTCATTGTGATCTCCCTAGATGAGCCGTTATGGCTCTTGGAGCTAACAATGAGAAAATATATGGTTAAATAAATAAAAAACATGTAATGAAGAAACATGTTTGAACTCAGAATAAAATTCTTTTATACCATAACTACATTTGCTTTGATAGTTCATAGGGTAATTGTAATGGTTTATTAAAGGCGTTTTTTTTTTTCCGTTGAATTTTGCCCTGTATATGATAATCGTATCGTATATGGTAATCGTATGGGGCCGAGTACAATTAAGGATTAATTTCACGAGTGTTTCGAAATTGCACAAGTCTCAATAACTGCTTTTAATTTTACATACATATTTCGGGAGTTCGTCTCCCATCTTCAGTGTATAACAGTGATGAACTACCTAGGCTTAAATATTCGAGGTAAACAAAAGGATGTTAATTACATAAATTACAAATGTAGTTTAAGGAAGTTGTGTTTTCTTGATTGGTTTAAAGAAGGTTGTTCCCTAAGGATATGCAGAGCTTCTTTGATTTTTAGATTAATACCCAGGGAATCTGCATCAAGGATCTTAAAACAATCGCTATTACATTTACCATGGCAATCTCCCTGATGTATTTAAATCATATTTTACTCATGCAAGTACTAAACATAAATACAACACAAGATTTTCTAGTAAAGAAAGTTATACTCTCCCACCTGTAAAGACCAATTATGGTAAATTCAATATGAGATTTGCTGGTGCAATATTATGGAACTCATTGGATGAAAATTTTAAAAAAGAGAAAACAAATTTTAAACGCAAATTATTTTCTACCCTYATTAGTAGCTATAATCCACAATAAGTTGTAAGTAATACTTAGAATAATTATTTCTTATTCATGTTGCCTATTCACTTTCTCTAGTCTTGTTTTTGTTTTCCCCCCTTTTATTACTACTTTGTATTTTTTTGTGTTTAATATATGCATATAGATTTTTTTTTTCAAGGCTCTTTTCTGACCTAAAATTGTAAATAACGTAGTGGCTAATTCAGTGTACTTCAGTCCTCCAGCTGTTACAAATAGTCAATGCCCCAAAATATGTAAATTTCAATTAATACTATAATTAATTGTAATCAGAGGCATAATTATTCATGTTGCCTATTCACTTTCTCTAGTCTTGTTTTTGTCCCCCCCCCCCTATTTTATTACTACTTTGTAATTTTTTGTGTTTAAAATATGCATATAGATTTTTTTTCAAGGCTCTTTTCTGACCTAWAATTGTAAATAACTTAGTGACTAATTCAGAGTAGTTCAGTCCTCCAGCTGTTACAAATAGTCAATGCCCCAAAATATGTAAATTTCATTTAATACTATAATTAATTGTAATCAGAGGCATAATTCTTAAAGAATCTTGAATCATTTAGAACGACAACAATGTGATCTTTCTAGATGTTTGTAAATATCTGAAGCCTTATCCCTCACAAGATGTTCACGTACGCGCATGGAAAGATGTTGAGTGGTCTTACCGAGATAGGTAGCTGCACAGCCAGCACAATAAACTTTATACACCACAACCGCGCATGTTTCAACCAACAAGCAAAGCTACTTCTTATGCAAATAAAATTATTTTGTTTACCTCGAATATTTAAGCTTAGAGAATTCATCACTGTTATGCACTGAAGATGATAGACGAACTCCCGAAACATGTATGTAAACTTAAAAGCAGTTGTCCTGACTTTAAAATTAATTATTAAGTTTCTGCTACTCTGAGGCTTCATATTTACAAATATCTAGAAAGCTCAGTGTTGTCGCTCTAAATGTAATAGCGAGTAGTTTAACGGAGTGGTGTTTTACTTGTTAAAATGTGTCAAAGCTTTATCTGATTGCGATGGATATGGGGAGCAAGGTAAAGTCTGGCTGGACGATATGGCATGTACAAGCTCAGAGGTTTCACTAAGGGACTGTCCTCACGTTGGTTGGGGAGTTGTTAGCTCAAATTGTAACGGTCACACTGAAGATATTGCTGTTCAGTGTTCAGGATATACTGGCGAATATCAAGGTATTATTATTTTGTATTTAATTTAAGAGAGAAGTAATATTTTAAGAAGAAATAGTCACTTTTTATATATTACATATATTCTTTTATAGTTCGACTACAAGATGGAAGTAATAATACAGGACGTATTGAAGTAAACTACGCCGGAAACTGGAGCCCTATTTGCGACAATGAATTTGGTATGGAGGAGGCCGATGTCATATGTAGAATGGCTGGTTTTCCAAATGGAGCTCTAACAAAGAGCAGTTATTCAAAATCTTCACACATGGTGTTCCTTAAAGACCTCTCATGTCAAGGAAGTGAAAGTTCAATCAAAAATTGTACTTTCAATTTTTTTGCCAATCATACTTGTCCCAACAACAAGGTTGCAGGAGTCGTTTGCAAAGGAGGTAAATTTTAATAGTTACTATTTTGACAAGAAAAAAGAATTAGTGTTTGGCAAAATGTGTTTTCTCGATTGATTTCTGGTTCTTCTTAGTTTTAGTTACGCATTTAAACAATGTGAAGCCTAGTGATTTAACTTTACGAAGGTAATTTTTATTTTTGTAGGTGAAACAAAACCATCTGTTAGCTTAATGCCCAACAAGAGGGTGGAAATAAGCTATTACAATATTAGCAAGTCCATTTGTTCAGATGGCTTTGATAACAAAGATGCACGAGTAATATGTAAAATGAAAGGATATAGTGATGGTCAAATCACGAAAATAGATAGTCGTACTCTAGATGTAAAAGCAAAAGAAGTATGGATTTTGAATATGACATGCAAGGGAACCGAGACTTCTATTGAAGAATGTGGTATTATCTGGAACTGGGAAAATAAGGCTTGCAGCAGTGTTTACAGAGCTGGTGTTTCTTGTAAAAAAGGTAAGCATCATATCTTAGTAATTACCGTTATTTTAAGTAAACCTTAGTCTTCTAAGTGCAATTGCTGATTTTTATCTTTTTAGGATTAGATTTGCGTCTTATTGGTGGAGCCCGTAATAACAGTGGTCGTCTTGAAATACTCGTAATGGGACAATGGGGAACAGTTTGTGACAAAGGCTGGGATATCAATGCTTCTGATGTCGCTTGTAGGATGCTTGGATTTGCAAGAGCCCTGAAATTCCAAAAGTTTCAACCGGGAAACACATCACAACATATTTGGCTAAAAAACACATCTTGCGTTGGCTGCGAAAGGTCTCTCGACGATTGCTACCATCCTGATTGGGAATCACAATCTAGCTGTGATCACAGTAATGACATTGGATTAGTTTGTATCCCAGGAGGTAAGTAGGCTTTTTGTGTTCACTTCTTATACATTAAAAAAAATTTTTTCATAAAACATGTGGTTTGGCTCAAATTTTGGTGCACTTTGCCTTCACAATCAGCAAAATATAAATCTAAAAACCTGAAAATACTTATATTTGCGTCCTTTTTTGTCTACAGGGCCACCAAACCTCTCTGCTAAAGTGATGGCGGATGGAAGAATAGAGATTAGTTACTATGGTGTTAACAGATCCATTTGCTACGATGGCTTTGATGCGAAAGATGCACGAGTAATATGTAGAATGAATGGATATGACGATGTTGCATACATTACACAAATAACTAGCCATGCTGGAAACCCAAGGACAGAAGAAGTATGGCTTTTAGACATGGCTTGTAAAGGAGACGAGAATTACATCAAAGAATGCAGTAATTCCTGGAACTGGGAAAACAAGAATTGCGCAAAAAATAACAACCTACGTGCTGGAATTGTGTGTAAGAGAGGTACGAGCAAGATCTTGATTTCAAAATTTAAATATTCCTTTGTCCTTGTTGATTTTTTTGATATACTATGTGTTTAGATACAGATCCGATAGAAGTTGAGTTCCGTCTTGAGGATGTGACCACTCCTGCTCCATATTCTGGACGCCTAACCGTAAAGTATTATAGGACATGGGGAAATATATGTGCTAAGGATTTAAAGCTAGAAGACGCACATGTGATCTGCAGAATGTTAAATTTTACCGGAGCAGTGACTATTTCTCATTGGGGCAAACATACTGGTAACGTAAGTTTTGAGCTTGTCAATCACTGCAAGGGAACAGAAGTGTCCATGAAAAATTGCACAGGGTTAAAACTAGAACAGGTTAACGCATGTGAAGAAGGCAATTACGCAGGGGTTGTTTGCACTCCAAAAATTGTAGGTAAGTTCTGTTATTTGTTTAATAATAAGAAAATTAAATAGATTCTTTATGCAAACAATGTTTTTCCTCTACAGTCACACCAACACCATTACCTCAAAACGTACGTCTAAGCGGTGGTGCAGACAATGCAAGAGGCCGAGTTGAAGTTCAAAGGCATAAAATTTGGGGATCGGTTTGCAATTCGGGATGGGACATGCGTGCAGCTAATGTGGTATGTCGCATGAAAGGTTTTGATAGCGCAATTACAGCATATAAGTCATATGGCGAAGGAACTGGTCCAATATGGATGTCTGGGCTTCGATGCAAAGGACGTGAAAACAATATTGAGGAGTGCACTAGTGATGGGCAGGAAAAGACAACTTCATGTAATCATAGCATGGATGCTGGAGTGGTCTGCCGTCGTTATAAAGGTCTGAGACTAGAGAACTTGCTTTTTAAAAACCTTCCATGAATAAGCTTTCGAGTATTAACYTCTAATCAATTATATTAACACAGATAATATAACAGTCGATCTGGAAAATCAAATATCAAAATATGATGGCAGAGTGACGCTAAAGGTAAACGGCAGTGCAGGATCAATTTGTGGTAATGGGTGGAACAAAAAGGATGCAGATGTCGCTTGTCAAATGAAAGGATTTAAACAAGCTTTAGTACCTATCAGCCATTTTGGAGGAGGACAAGCCAAAATCTGGTTGTCAAACGTAGGCTGCAGCAATAGCGACAAATCACTAGAAGAGTGTAATCATGATGGATGGGTAAACAACTCATGTCCTAACAATCACCATGCAGGAGTGATATGTGAACGGCCTGGAGGTTTGTCAAAGTCCTTTAAATTATCATCTCTTAAATGCTGTGACTCGTTTTGAATGTCTCAATGCATTGATTCCTTTTGTTTTATCGCAACAGTCAACGACCCAAATTTTGGTATGAGATTGGTTAAAGTTCCAGGAACAAATCTAAGTAAAGTGGAAGTCCAGTACTATGGTGTTTGGGGAGCTGTGTCTGCTAACAACTGGAATCTGGCTGACGCTCATGTTGCATGCTGGAGCAACAACTCAGGAAAAGCATCAACAGCAGGAAGTCTTATGAACGATGAAAAACTTCCCATTTTGATAGATAATCTTGATTGCCGTGGAAGCGAAAATTCAATAGAAGACTGTGGTTTTGAATGGGGTATCTCTGGTGCTAAACAATCCAAAGTAGCTGCAGTTGGATGCACCCCAGTTACAGTTGGTATATACAAATATAGATTTCTTGCTTGCATACCCTTAAATGTATTTCGAGATCTAATAATTACTTATATTCATTTATAAACAGACGATAAAAACTCAATGACAGCGGCAATAGGACCTGGACAGAATACAGGACTTGGACAAGTGGACATAAGATACAAAACTAAAGACTATGCTGTTTGTGGTGATGACAGATGGGACATAAAAGATGCCGATGTGATCTGCAGGATGAAAAATTTTAAAAAGGGCGCAATGGCAGCAATTAGAAAATACACAATTGATCCAAGCAAACCATTCCTTACTGGATTTGAATGTCGTAGTACTGAAAAAAGTTTAGGCGAGTGTTTCCGTGTTCAAACTTTGACTTGCCCAGGAAACTTCATCGCAGGTGTTATGTGTAAACCAAATACAGGTAATGAATATAAAACCATTTGTAAGGTAGGCACGTGAAATATTTAACTAAAATACTTTCTTTGTGCTTCAAGGTATACCGCCACAAATGAAACTGCGGTTAGCAGATAATGGACGTGTAGAGGTATCCTATGGTGATAAATGGGGAACAATATGCAATGACGGTAACAGCCAGCAAAATGCTCGGGTCATATGTCGCATGCTAGGGTATATCGATTTTGATGTGCATGGTTCAACGTCCAAAACAAGTGGTCTAATTTCTTGGCTTGGAGGCATGCAATGCAAAGGAACTGAAAAATCCATTGAAGAATGCAAACCAAGATGGGGAGAAGCAACTTGTAATGATGACAACATGCTTAGAGTTACTTGCAAGATAGGTATTCTCACTATGATATACACTACTTAATTGCTCCAGTGTTTGTATTTTATTTCTTATGGAGTTTTTTCATTTTGCAGCTGATGCTCCTCACTTCCAAATCCTTGGGAACGATGCTATTACTGACTCAACTGTCAAAATCCACTTTCAGGACGTTGGATCCATTTCAGGCTTAAAAGCGTATGTATCAAAACAAAAACCATCTTATACACTTAATATTTTATTTGACAGAAATAGGTATAATTAAATTTTTTTTGTTTGTTCGTTTGTAGCATCTATCAAATTGCTGTTGAAAGGAGGCCATATGAAGAGCGTCTCCAATCCTTTAATACTCAACAAAAGCGCTTCGAATTTAAGATAGTAAATTACACCACAAGTGCTAACCTTAAAAGCGAATCTTACATTACTGCTGAAATAGAAAGTTCATATCTACCCAAGAACAACTTTACCATTGGTGACCTCAGTTTTGCCCAAGGAAATGATGGATTTACTAATGAGCCGCTTCAGCCAGAGACACCATACAGAGTGTATGTAAGGATCGCAACTGACTCTTATGATAAGGTTTGTACTTCTTACTTCCTTATCTCATGTATCTCATGTAGCACTATTGTGGCATTCAAATAACCCTGTGTTGGACGTTTCATTTTTACTTTTTTCTTATAGCAAACAAGGATTTATGGTGATTATTCTTACGTGGCCTTCAAAACAAACAAAGTATTTGCTAAAGGTAGATTGAGAACTTAATTTAATTAGAAGTTAATTTGTCTTAAAGCAACAGATTTCTTCCTCTTTTGCCATTCTAAAAGCATCAAACATATCCTTTGTTTAATTTATAGGTCGAGCTGAAAAACTGACCAGTTCGAGAGGGGGAGAAGCAGTGATAGGAATGTCCATTGTGATAATAATGTTGATTGCTGTTATCATCTGTGCCTCTGTCTGGTTCATAAGAAAACAAAGGAATGAGGAAATGGACGCTTCTGATAAAAGTCAAGGTAATCACACTTTTAAATCATATCATTGTTAATTTAAGGCAATATAATTTGGAAACAAAGATAATCTCATATTATTCAAAAACCACCAAATCTGAGTCAAATATTTCATTTCTGTTAGGACTTGAGATGACAGACAATGGTGACATGCGTACAGTTAATGATATACCAGAAGGCTACTACCAGGCACCGCTACGTGAAGAGCGTAACGAATACGTCACTTCTCCAGAAAAGGATAATAAAGCTGCCTATCAGTCTTTGGTAACTCGTACAAGGGTATGTCCTATCAAAAATCTCAAACACTTAATTCTGTTGTAAATTAATTGCTTTCATATTTTAATACGCAGATTGCTCGTAACAAGCAAGAAAACGAGTCTCCTTTGTACGTTGAAATCAGGAGTTGAAGAGATGATTCCCGCATGAGCAGCAATTAAACTAAAAACCATAGTTTCTCATAAATAAACGTAGAAAATTGCGTGCTTTGTTTTATTTTTATTAAAACAATAGAGAAAAYGTAGAATTTGATAGGAGTTTGAACAAGCTAAGGAAATAGTGCTGTAAACAGTGCTATTACAGGCTAGGTCATCTGGTGTCTCTGAAGGTAAACACAGGGACCCCAGGAACAATGTTCTTACTCATTCACAATCTACTTGTTTTCTCCAACTTTTTCAGGCTTTCACAATTGATTGCCATTCATTAAATAAATAGTTAAAATATTAACCAAAAGGGAAAATATTGGAATTCACAATTGAATTAATTAGGGTACTTGAAATAATGAGGGTATAAAATAAAGGTGTAAATTTTCCAAGCATAAAAGTTGTTGTTGTCGTTTTTATTAGTGTCATTAGCATAATGAAACCATATTTTTGTCGGGGGAGGGGAGGGAACGATCTTTTTCCTATAGTGCAAGGCAATATGGCCCCTGTCAATTTAACACAGGATACCCAACAGAGAAACAAATAGAATGTTTACAACACCTGTATGAATTCTAATCAGAACCAAAACAAAATGTAAAATCTTTTCCATGACAGAAGTACTGCTGTCAGCAGCATAAATACGACCCATTATTTTGCATACAACGTCAAAGGAAAAAGAATCATTTGACTGCAGCCTCAATTGTAATAACAGGAACTGATAAAACAAATTTTTGACATGTTTTGATGCAACATTAAGACATTAAGAGATGCTAAATTAAACTGAAGCTTGTGTGCTGAAAACAATTAGAAACCTAGGTTGGCAACAGGAAATTAATTATCACGATTCAACCTCTTTTCAACACCTTTTAAAAATTAACTATTCTATAACTTGATAAATTTTTTTTTCTTTCCGCATGTTGACATATTTTAATAAGAATCAAAAACAAATTAATAATTAGTATATGTAATAGGGACTCCATGCACTCCAATTAAGAAATAATTGGACGAGAAAAATTCCGAGGACTTCCAAAATTGGATGAGGCCGTAGGCGAGTCCAATTTGGTAGTCAGAGGAATTTTTCCTAATTATTTCTTGATTGGGGAGCATGAAATCCCATTACCTATTAATCATGTAGCCGCCTAATTAATCCCATGTCAACAAGTACTGTCCAATTAAGAAAATAATTGGACAGTTATGTATATGGAATTAATGAGAAGCTGTAAAATTTAAGAAAACATGAAATATTAATGATTATAGTATTTATTTGCACTCACACATCTGTACTAAAACCAAAAAATTCAAAGTCTAGTTTGGCAACAGGAAATTAATAAATTATGACATTTCAACCCTTTTTGACACCTTTTAAAAATTGACTAGTAATTAACTAA